GGATATGCGCACGCAATCCCTATCCTTTCATTTAGGAAACTCGTCGAACATTTTGCCTCCCCAGGCAGACCGAGACTCGTTACGAGTAAGACGAATATGGATCAAAAGCGCATCTACGACCTATCTGGGCCTAGGAGTCTGACGATTGGCCCATCAACGGGTCCAACAGCCGCTCCAAACACCCCTACGACAAAGGATGGAAAGAGCTGGGGCCCACAAGAGGCCAGCGCCCAGGTGCACGAGCGCCACAGGCATCTCAGCCCATGATTAAGTCTCAGTCAGGCTTACCCTGACCGGATCCCCGTGAATGGGATACCGGGACCCCAATTAAACTATCCAGCTAAACAACCATCAAAATCTCATGACCATACCAGTGAAGGGTCCGACCTCGGCGAGAAGAAATCAGCATCTTTAGGACATGCCGTGGGCAACAATAGAGGGCCAGGGCTCTTAGAATCTCCTCTCTTTCGGAAAAACCTCTGAAGGAGTATCCTACTCCTCCGCTGGCCCGGGGGCTACACCCACTAGGTGCGCTCGCGCACACCCGCTGGTAAGTCAAAAAATCCCCCAGGTAATTCTACTCTTATCAGCCGGGGGCTCAGGGGCTACTGTTGAGGAACAATGTTAGGGTACCCGAAGAGGAGGAGCTAATGACCATCAATAATGATTCGTCCACGTGATCAAGAGCATGACTACACTGCTTGCCGGGTCCCTTCTCGTCCGACCACTGAGACCATGGGCCCTGCCTTGTCTGACCCTCGAGGGTTGGCTCCGCCTCGGTGGGCGCTGCGGTCGCGGGCCCCGTCTCGCCGGACCCTCGAGGGTTGACTCTGCCTTAGGCTAACTCCCGAGGGCTGGCTCCACCTCGCTCAATGTTCGAGGGCTAGCTCCGTCTCGCCCGACGTCCGAGGGCCGGCTCCACCTTACCCGACGCCTGAGGGCTGGCTCGATCTCGCCCGACGTCCGAGGGTCGGCTCCGCCTCACCCAACATTTGGGCTGGCTCTGCCTCGCCCGACATTTGGGGGCTGGCTCCGCCTCGCCCGACGTCTACGCGTGACTCCTTCATAACAACGCATGCAGATAAGGCAGGGCACTCAAGTCAACCGCAATACCAAGGACCGTACCCTACATGCCTGTAGGAAAGTACCATCAAGATGTGACAGAAGGGCGCTTTGCGACCTTCTAGACATGTTAGAGCCCAAACAATGTTGTAGGCGTCGACATTTGCTTTACAGTGTTGTGGGCGCCGCCATTTGCCCTCGGGCACGGATCCTGACGGAAGCTCACGACAACCACTACGGTCTAGAAGGAAACTCGCATCACCTACAGTAATGGACGTGCGGTCACTGCACCATCTGCTCCCTGTATGGTCGTGGATCAGTGCCTTGGTCCGCCGTGCCACCCGCCGGGGCGGGGTGGGACGTGACAACTCGCTGACAATGCCAGGACATGGCATCGTCAGCGGACAAACGCCCAACACGGCCCTATCAGGGTCAGTGGACATGCGCCCGGTGTGGAGCTATCCCTGTCACCGCCTACCATGTCAGTGGGGCCCGCACAGAGGCAAAGGAAGACCCGGCGTCCTTGAAGGATTTCCTTTGCCTCTGGTTTTTCTCTTTTCTCCCATCTGTAATCCCTGCTCTCCCTTGGCCTATAAAAGGAAAACAGGGCACCCCACTAAGGGGATCGATTCAACACATCACGCATCACATCACACATAGCTGAGCAGCGACAAAGCTCTCAGCACCCATTTGACCTTTTCATTAGAGACTTGAGACCTGTCCCTCTCTTGCCCGTTTGTAACCCCTACTACGAACTTTTCAGTGCTAATAACACGAGCAGCAGCCATGAACTAGACGCAGGGATATTCTATCCGAACCAGTATAAACCTTATGTCTTTTTAGCATACCATCCAGGCCAGACACGCAATAACACAAATTTACTCGTTGGTGTTTACTTGAAACACCAACAATTATCAACCTATCATCGCGCGAGTAATGAGAAGCCCATCACTAGCTCGACTTCTAAGAATCTAAGCATACTAAGCATGATTATTAAACAAGACATGTATGGTTGATTGGTGAGGCAATATATGGATAAGGCTTGACATAGGTAATTCCCTCCCGGTTCACTAGTCATATGGTAACATAGCAATGTAATAGATAACCATAGTTCATTATGCACTTGTAAAGCATAGGGATGCATAGGGGCCTGCGTTGGGGTCGTTGCTAGGCTCGACGACTTCTTCCTCCTGAGGCTCCTCCTCAAAGGGTTCTTCGGGAATCGGGTCACCTATACATGCATGATGCTTGATGAGTGAACTGCATAAAGTACATGCTCATGCTATGCGACGATTCTTAGTTGATTATGCTTTAGTGACACAAGAGTGAGCGTGTAGTCATACACTAGTGGTCTACTGACTGGTGACTATCGGATAGTCTAGCGTGGATATCAGACGATCCAGTGGTTACTGGGACTTAGTGGGAAATTGGCTCTCTAGGACCATCGAGTTCTCCGAACTAGGATCGGACCCTCTGGTACGAAGTCTGTGCTCTCGGGAACCTCTCTGTGTAAATTATAATCCTATCGGAAGGTTCCGTCAACTATGGCGGACCATCCGTCAGGTTGATAGTCTGTGCGAGTGAAGGATCATCCGGTATGAACTGGCTGCTCTCGGGTTTCTGGTTTATATATCAGCGGACGCTCCGGAATATCGATGGACACTTCGCTGTACCAAAAACTGTGATCTAAGTTCTCTGGACACTCCTCTATCTCTGGTGTATAACTCATCAGACGCTCTGGTGTAGTGACGGACGCTTCGGTGGGTTACAGACGTGTTCTATGCAGGTGAGCAGAGAGACATTTAGTACTATCGGGCACTCCACCGGTGATGTCGGACTCTCCATCAATACTGACAGTGAACACTTCATAGCAACTCGATATCCAAATCTTCACCTATGGTGCTTGCATGTGTAAACTATCTTCAGGGTAGGCTACTAGGATTCTATGGAGCATATCTAGCTGGTTGGTTCTAGCTACATTGGGTGCAAACTAACTCTAGGCCACGAATCGATATTCTCTAGGTTTTGGCTCCTAAAGATGCAATCCTATGTTTTGATTGGTTAGATTCTTACCAAGGGCTGCAAAAACAAGATACCAAGCTCTCCAAGGTGATGGAGCAGCTGGATCTCCTTCTTGGTGACTCGAAATCCTCTTCTTCTTGACTCCTCTTCCTCATAGCTCCTTATGGCAAGGGTGAGAGGGCTCCTCCCCTTCTAACCCTACCTCTCGTGGATGACGGCCTCTAGGTGATCTCCACGGCCATCTCTTGCTGCCTCCAAGCTCCAATCTCTTCTCCTTTCTCTTCCTTTCATTCTCCTCTCCCTTGCTTGAGTGTGAGAGAGTAGAGAGATGAACCAGAGAGAGTGAGAGTGTGAGAGTGAGTGAGTGAACTGGTGATTGCTTTGCTTTGGTGCTTCCATGAATTGAACAGCTGTAGTGATGTGTGGGACCAAGTGACTCTCAAAATGACACCTCACATTTCTGCATGGGACGATCCTATCGGACAGTCCGTTGTGGTGGCGGACTCTCTAGTGGTGTCGGTTGCTTACTGACCAAGTCTAAACTTGTCAGTGCGTGCACATGGACTGACGGATGGTCCGATGGTGCTGGCGGACTCCGTCAATCCCACAATGAACAGTTTGAATGCAGAGTTCAGTTTTTAATTATTTGATTTCGAATGATAGAATGCTCATGATGCTGATGCTCACAAGGGTGTCAGGAGGACCAGGTCGTGACACTATTTTTTTAACAGATATTTGGTTCGCTGTCAGAACTACGACGTGCCATACTTTCTTAGCACCCTGTCCCATGTTTCGTAGTCTCATTTTTTTTTGTCAAACTTTGCTACGAGCGTGGCTTCAATTTTGTCCACATAACTTTATATGGCAACCATAGTACATGTCTAAGTTACACCACCAACCAAATATGCCCAGTCGTACTAGCACAAAACCCAAGACATATAGGTAAGGAAACCAAACTAGCCTAAGTGCTACTGTAGTCTATATATTTTGGCTATATATATATATACATTTATCCGTGGATATAGAGACCTTGTTAAGTTGTTATTCCTTTATTAAACAAACTACCAGCGTAGCTTAAACTCGCTCAGCAAGATAGCACGGCGTTGATCGAAGAAAACAAACGCGTCCTTCGTCTGCACTGCACACACCGTGAAACCATACCGTATCTGGCCCAAAAAGCCCACTGCCCCAGGCTACGAAAATATCTAACCACTTTACATTTCACTCCCTGTGAATTTCATATATATTTACATAAAATCGTGGGGACGCAATGCAAAATTAGCTCTTCTCTTCTGCCTCGTATAGTATAAATGCCGGGCGCCACTGCCCAAACCCATCAAAAACCCTTCCGGCCGCCGCCGGAAACCCTACCCACCCCCCTGCGCCGCCGCCGCCGCCGCCCGCCCGCTCCTTCATCTCCTACCTCTTCTAACGCCGTCGTTCCGATCCCCTACGTTCGGTAAGGAACCTTGGCCCTCGATGAAGTGTTTGGTTTATTGTTGATTCCGCGGGATCATTGCGTCTCTGCGAGTCCTCGAATACGAACGCTTAGCTCTCTCCAATCCATCCTATTCGCTGCCGGTTTGCTTATTTGCTGCGTGCGTGGTGGAGCGCGAGTCTTTCCTCTTGCCCAATATGACCTGCTGATATTTTTCTTTTATCATTTTACTACCTTGTGTGTACGGGGCTGACTAATTACCTCGAATATATTGGGAGTTCTTGTGTTTCATCCGATGTTAAATTGACAAATATTGACGAGGTAGTGGGACTAAATTTATCCGTCTTCTGCCTCTGTTAGGATGGCCATATTCATATATGTTGTTGCTGTTGTGCATGTGCTGTATTAGTATTGTTATATGCCTTATTCTTAAATTAGTGCCTCCATTTCCTTTTCTGTAGAGCTTAGCTGAGGCATTATGGGTAAGTCAAGCAAGAAGTCCAGTGTTGAGGCCGCACCTGTTGCTGTCTCAGTTCCAGAGGGGAAATCTGTAAAGAAGGGTAAGGCTTTTGATAGCTCTTTGTTGCATTGGAATACTTGCTGGTTATGTTTCTGTCTTGTTGCTTTGTATGTACCACACTTATCACAGTGTCACAAGAGTTTTTTTAATCTTAATGAGCAGGGAAGAGAAATGCAGAAGATGAGATTGAGAAGGCCGTGAGTGCCAAGAAGCAAAAGACTGCATCTGAAAAGGCCGTGCCGGTTAAGAAGCAGCCCCCTCCAAAGAAAGTTGAGATCAGCAGCTCTGACTCTGAGGAGGATTCTTCAGATTCTGAAGTGGAGGTGCCGGTTAAGAAGCAGCCCCCTCCAAAGAAAGTTGAGAGCAGCAGCTCTGACTCTGAGGAGGATTCTTCAGATTCTGAAGTGGAGGTGCTATCACGTTCTTCACTTTTGGCTCATGTTTCCCCTTGGTTAAAATCATAAGCTATATGCTTGAACTCTGGAGATCGCTTTGCTTCACTATGTCACATTCTCACAATTGATTGTATGATAGTGTTTTTATTGTTACTATATTCTTTGTGCTACCAATTGATTTTATTTATTTTCTCTGATACTCTTAGACTCAAGAGCTAGCAGTTGCAGTAGAGTCATTACTTATCTATTTGGTGTTGCAATTCCTTTATTGAATATGTGAGACAAGTTTTATGCTATTTTTAAAGCAACCAATTGCATAAAAATGTATGTCATCAAGGAAAAGGTAAAAAAAAAAATCCTTATCACTCTTTTTTACCTGGATATGATCATCCAAATATCAAAAAACTGAGATTTAACATCAATTGTTTGTTAGATGTTTGCATTGTAGTTTTGTTCGTTGTCTATACCTTTGTTGTCAATTGCAACGGTGTTTGAAAAGCAACATGGTTTTGCACCTTTTGTTTTTTCCCTTGATATATACTAATAAAGAAAAATTACTTGTTTAATGACATCAGTTTGCAGTTCCTCTTGTGCTTAATAGGAAGCTAGTGTATGAATGAAATTTTGGCTTTTCATTTGATTTCTATTGGAAACTTCTTTCTAGAAAAAGGACATGTTTGCAGGTTAAGGTCCAGCCAAAAAAGGTCATTCAACCAAAGAAAGGTACACAACCTGCTAAACAGGAGTCCAGTGATGGCAGCAGCTCTGAGAGCTCCTCAGATGATGTAAGCATTGCCCATTTGCTTTTGGGGCTTTCTTCTTACCAACACACAAACTTATTTTTCCTTAAATTAGGAACCTTCCAAAAAACCAGTTGCCGGTTCAAATAAGCCAGCTGCCAGTAGTAGCGACAGTGATGACAGCAGTGACAGTGATGATAGCAGTTCTGATGAGGAACCTGCAAAAAAGCCCACTGTCCTTTCAAAGAAGCCTGTCACAGCTGTTAGTGATGGTTCAAAACAGGTTAAGCATGATAGCAGCAGCTCCGACAGTAGCTCAGATGAGGATGAAGTAAGTATTTGTTTCCTATTCTATCTTGCGAGCTAAATCCTGAATGGTTTTTGAATCCTTATTCTTGGATTTTTCTTTACATCGATGAATCATTTGCATCCTTTTTTTTTTTACATCTGCTATGTGTTAAATGATGGTTTGCATCCTGTTAATTTTCTTTTTTGTGCATCTTGAGCGCCCACACCGCACGCACACACTGACATAGATGAATGAAATAGTACCCTTCTAACCATGAGATGTCCTATGAGCCAGCTCACAATGTCACCAGGGTCAGCTCAAATAAATTAGTGAGGTTAACATGAGCAAGAACAATATGTTAGCTAAAGAATTACAGAATTCCGTTTGGGTGCATTGACCCTGATAACAAGGGCTGGATTCACTCCTGCTATGGACACCTCTCTAAAAGAAGACAAGATGTACTACTCCCTCCAGTCTGTTTTCTAAGGCATATGTGAGTTTTGGAGAAAAGACTATTATATAAGGCGCATGCGGTATCCAAAGAGTCATTAAGCGCAGGAATTAATGTCTTTGAAGCCAAGAGTTATTTGCATGGCGCCATGCACCAATCCTGTAGAGAGAAGTTGGAACGTAATCTTTTGGAGGCTAACCACTTATTAAGCGCAACGTGGCTAATTCGCTGTGGGACCTGTCAAAGAGTAAATCATCCTATGCACGAGCGCAATGTTCTGCACCAGCGTCTTGGTATCTGTATCTTACGTTTCACGCCTTAGAAATGGGACTGGATAGAGTATTTGCTAAACTAATGTGCATAGGAGGCAATTAAATTTGTATAATATAATGTTTTATGTTTCTTTGTAAAATTAGTCAGCTATAAGTTTCATATCTAAAAATGATAAAGAGGAACACATGTAGAGATACAACCCATGTATGTACAATCACGCACCACCGTGTAATTTCTATGCAGGGTTACTGCAGTCAGTAATCTCCAATCACGCTTAGAAATGGGACTGGAGGGAGTATTTGCTAAACTAATGTGCATAGGAGGCAATTAAATTTGTATAATATAATGTTTTCTGTTTCTTTGTAAAATTAGGCAGCTATAAGTTTCATATATCTAAAAATAATAAAGAGGAACACATGTAGAGATAAACCCATGTATGTACAATCAGGCACCACCGTGTAATTTCTATGCAGGGTTACTGCAGTCAGTAATCTCCAATCAAGCTTACCTTGGTTTCTTTTTTCCTGGTTTCACTGACATTTGTCTCGCTTTCTTGCTTTTCAGAAACCTGCTGCTAACCTAAAGAAGCCTCCGGTTGCCTCTGTGCAAAAGAAGACCCAAGAATCTGATAGCTCTGACAGTGATTCTGATGATGATGAATCAGAAGATGTAATTAATTTGTGGATTCATATGTTGCACTTATTTCTTGATTCATGCATCTTTGATAGCTATTCTTTGTCAAACATAACTTATCAGTAGTAACCCTGACAAACAATATCTGTAGGATATTCCTGCTAAGGCTCCAGTAGTGGCCAAGAAAAAGGAAGTATCCAGTGACAGTTCTGATTCTGATAGTGATTCTGAGTCTGAGGATGAGGTAGTCACCTTACTACAAAACTTTAAGAGTCTTCAAACTTAATTCACTTCTTAAAAAGCTTCATTTTATATTTGCCAGGATAATAATGCTAAAACAGTACAGCCTGCCAAGGCTGCTGCTCCTAAAAAGGAGGAGGAATCTAGTGGGAGCTCAGATTCTGACTCAGAGTCAGATTCTGATTCTGATGAAGTAGGTGGCACTTTCTTCTCCACTCATGTTAATTTTTTATTGTGTAGTTTTTAATTCTTCCTTGTCTTTACAGCCTGAAAAACCTACTGTCCCTGCGAAAAGGCCTCTAGCAACAAATAAGAAGAATGAAGAAGTATGCTCTCTTGTAAAATCTTGTTTTTTGACTCATACTCCCTCTGCCACTTTAATAAGTTGTATTTTGATTTGAAAAGGTCAACCTACAATCAAATTGCTACTATATTTATTGTACAAAATAGTTGTTTCATATTTCAAAATGCTTTTATGTATCATGTTGATTAATACTCGAATAAATGCCCAAAACTAATTCTGAACTTTTTGTATCAAAGTACTACCTGCTATAATAAATGGTGGGAGTATACTTTTTGCGTTTCAGTTGTCTGCTCTTGTACATATTACATTGGACTCAATAGAAACTCTCTCTCTCTCTCTCTCTCTAGTCCAGTCCAGCGACGAATCTGATGGCAGCTCTGATGAGAGTTCTGATGAAAGTGACGAGGAGCCTCCACAAAAGAAGTCTAAGGTACTGTTTCTTCGTGTCAGACCTCTGCCTTTTGAAGATTATCTCACCTTTTTACTGTTTCTTGTACTTGCAGGATTCTGCACCTTCTGGTGCTGCCAAGGCTGCCACTAAGGTTTCAAAGAAAGAAAGCAGCAGCGATGAAGATGATGGAAGTTTGGATGAAAGCTCTGACGATGAGGAGGAAAGTGAACCAACTAAAACTCCTAAGAAAAAGGTTTGGCTTTTGAAGCCTTTTGTTCTAAAATTAAGGGAATGGTTGTAATTTTGCATAATTTGCTACTGAGTTACCTGTGCATCTTTTTTAGTTGGGATATAACAGTTTCTTTGATTCTCAGGAAACTTCTGTAGACACTACGCAAAAGTTGGCACGTAATGAGGTATTCTGCAATCTATGCCATTCTCTAATTTTATTTACTTAATAAACATTAAATGGATGTTTGACAACTGTCTTATCTTTTCAGCCCAAAACTCCTGCCAAAAGCCAAAGTCAGGCTACTGGTTCAAAGACTATTTTTGTTGGGAATTTAGCCTATAGTATAGAGCGTGAACAAGTGTAAGTTTGTTAAATGTGCCAATTTATTTTTTTCCAAATGTGTTGCCACTAACACCATTTCTCCACATGCTGTAGTAAGGAATTTTTTGAGGAGGCTGGCGAAGTTGTAGATGTTCGTTTATCTACTTTTGATGATGGGAGTTTCAAGGGTTATGGACATGTTGAATTCGCTACTGTTGAAGCTGCTCAAAAGGTGAACAATCTCCTTGATTATTTTTTAATCTATATGCTGCTTAGTTCAACTGTTAAAGGAGCAAAACACCTCACTGGTCACTGCCATCAAGTTCTATTGGATACTAGCAAGTTCTGTTATTAGTTAAACTGTCACAAGAGCAGACCGCCTCTCTCCATCAAGTTATATTTAATGCCACTTGCGAGGAAGTTCTGACACTTAGAACTCTTTCTTCGTTTTAGGCACTTGAATTTATTGGTCATGACCTGATGGGGCGTCCTCTAAGGATCGACATAGCTGTCGAGAGGGGTTCATACACTCCTAGCAGCGGGTTATTCTCTTTCTTATTTACTGTGCTGTGGTTATTCAGTAGGGGATGCTTTTATGAATTTTTTGCTGTTAGCTGTTACCAATTATTCAGTATGGCCATAATTTTGTCTATTGCTCAGGAAGGACAACGGTTCATTCAGGAAGTCTGCTCAAAGGTCAGGCAACACTGTATTTATTAAGGGCTTTGACACGTCTGGTGGAGAGGACCAGGTAATTTGAATTTCCTTTTTTTATCCACTTATCATTGTGTTTGTGTTCTGTTGAACCATGTCTTGTTACATTATATATCTGATGATGGTATTCCTTCGCCAGATCCGGAGTGCTCTCCAACAACATTTTGGCTTATGTGGAGAGATTACCCGTATTTCAATTCCAAAGGATTATGACACTGGTGCAAGCAAAGGGTTAGTTGGCTCTTAACATATCATTCTTTTATACTCCCTCCGTCCCTAATTATAAGTCATTCCAACTTTTTGGAGAGTACAAAATATCTCAAGTTTGATCAAAATTATAGAGAATTACAAAGATTTATGACGTCAAATAGATATACTATGAAAATATAATTGATGAAGAATCTAATGATACTTATTTGGTTCATAAATGTTATTATTTTTACTATATAAATTTAGTTAAACTTGAGATGCTTCGACTCTTCAGAAAGTGGGAATGATTTATAATTTGGGACAGAGGGAGTACTTAGGTTAGGGCCTTATTTTTTTCAGCAAGATATTCAGGAGTGTTGATATTATATAGTTTCTTTTGGAATGTCATCATCTGAAGAAGTCTCCATTCTTGTCGTTGACTCATTGACACGACGCTGTGCTCGGTTTGCAGAATGGCATACATGGATTTCAAGGACCCAGATTCCTTGAATAAAGCATATGAGCTGAATGGAACCGACCTTGGTGGCTACAGCTTGTATGTCGATGAAGCGAAGCCGAGACCTGATAACAACAGGGACGGTGGCTTCAGTAGTGGGCGTGGTGGCAGAGGAGGAAGGAGTGACAGGGGGCGTGGTGGTGGCCGTGGGCGTGGATTTGGAGGCCGTGGTGGAAGGGGTGACACAGGCCGTGGTGGCCGGGGTACGCCTTTCAGACCGACCGCTGGTACCCCTAGTACAGGTAAACAATTGCTTGGGTTAATAATTGTTTTGCCAGATTGATTTGTATCTAGTTGGAGTTACGTTTGTTGTGTCTCCTTGATTTGGAACTGTGGTTCAAATTTTGCAGGAAAGAAGACTACATTTGGTGATGACGATTGAAGATCCAAGGCTGGCGATTATAGTGAAACGCAAACTATCAGACTTCTGTTATCTGTTTCTCCTATTGGAGGCTGTACTGCTTCGTTTGCTTGATAATTTTGACAATTGTTTTACCATTTTTTACATTTGGAGCTATGAAGTTATATCGAAGACGTGATTTATTTATAATATATGAGAAGCGGCGAGTTCGTATGTTTTTGGCCTTTGAATTTCTGCTCTTTTGTTGCACGTCACTGCATCGCAATGAACGAATGATTATAAGAATCGAGGAACCAATCGCCCAATTATTTTTAGAATTTTTAATTTTTTATTCCACCTCCTTTTGTAACTGAGGTCTTGTTTAGTTTCTTCCTCTAAAAGTTTATTTTTTATTCTGTTTAGATATATGTATAAAATATTAAATATAGATTTAAAAAAATAACTAATTATACAGTTTGTAACTAATTTGCGAGATGAATTTTTAAGTCTAATTAGTTTAAGATTTGACCGATGTGGTGCTAAAGTAATACATGTGTTAATGATAGATTAATTAGGTTTAATAAATTTGTTTCGTAGATTACTGATGGATTATGTAATTTATTTTTTTATTAGTATTTGAACATCTCATACAACATTTTTTTGTGACACTTTGTGACACCTTTAAAACTTTACACCATGAATTTAAACAAAGACCTAACTCCTTTGGCTGGGCCAAAATATACTGTCCTATTGTGGCATGGCTACTAGTGTTGCAATCAACATCCCTGGCGCGCCGGTTGGCCGCCGCGGCAGGGCTGGTAGGATCGCGTGGGCTCTCTGTGGCAGAACTATCCGAAATAATACACCTTCGGATACGCTCGTCTTCCACTAGACACTAAGCATCCCGAAAAGTAAGCTACACCAGGCGGTTCCGTCGAGCACACCCCGAGAGAGAACTCGAACAATCCACGTTTTTCATCCAGAATTCATTAATGAGAACGCGTTTACAATACTTAATCCATTTCATACAACAAGAGTTCTCGGAAATACATTATTACAATACCAAGTTCAGAGTGTGAAATTTAAACAACAAAATTGAAATAAACATATAACGATGAGATACAAGGATCCGTCTGTGCCCATCAGAAGAATCCTCCACACAACAGTCACTCCTCAAGCTGCACCTGCACCAGGGGTAAATAAACTCTGAGTACACAATATACTCGCAAGACTTACCTGACTAGTGGGAATAATTTCCCGACTCCAAATGATATGATAAGGTTTATAATTTGCTGGGTTTTCCTTTCTGCGAAAAGTATTACTAGTAGTGAATCCTTATGTATGTGTTTTATTAGCAGTCATAATTATTTCATTAGCTAAGTATTCTATGTAAGCACATGTTCTACTTTCAAGCAAGAGTTGAGCAATAAGATCCATTTATCCCCTTTCTTCTTCCAGTTCTTATTACGGTGCTAGATCATAGCCAAATCGTACCGTATCACACGACGTTTCGTGAACCAATGTATCCCAACTAGGTACCCCGAAATATACGCCCCACTTGTACCCCAGGCACAAGCAAGAACAACCCACCACTCTTCTGTCAAGGGGTCTAGGTCCCCGTCTAAATTTGGACTCCAAGCCCCCACTCCTGAGTCGCAGACTTAGTGTGGTGCTTAGATCTCCACCATCCCCGCCTCCAATCAGTCGGTCCGGAAAGAGCCAGAACTCATGACAAGAGAGCAACGAGCCTTTCCGCTCCAATAAGCAAATATGTATCGGGGCTCTTTCTAGTATTAACGCAACTTATGCGTCCTGTTCCTACAGTCGGCCCGTATGTCGATATGCCCTCGTCCAAACCCATCTTTACATCCGGCCGGTCCCCGACGCCCCCGCGCTCGCCGGCGCGGCATCGGCTGGCACGGGGCTGCCACACCGGCCAATCGGTAAAAGCTCTAGCTTGATTTTGGTTAATTGATGAAACCCTAAGTGCTAACCTAGTTTATCAAAGTGATTATGAGATAGGTAGCACTACTCCAAGTGATAAAGCAATGGCAAAGATCATGACGATGGTGATGGCATGGTGATGATCAAATACTTGAACTTGAAAAAGAAGAAAGAGAAAAATAAAAGGCTCAAGGCAAATGTATAAAAAGGCTCAAGGCAAGATCACATTTATTAGCGAGTGTGATCACATTTAGGTTAGATAGCCGTATATTAAAGTGCGGTTATCAAAGTGCCACTAGATGCTCTAACTCATTGCATATGCATTTATGAGAACCTTAAAAATGTTTGTGAAAATATTATAACACATGTGCACAAGGTGATACACTTGGTGGTTGGCACATTTGAGAGTTAGAGGTGAAAATGAGTTAGTGTTCCCGGACGTGGATTTGGGGAGTAGCGTCCCGCCATGTGTAGTGATGGACGCCACGTCGGTGAATGACCGGACGATTGGGTCATGGATAGACCGGACGACGAGGTCGTGGTCCGGTCATGTTGTCGACGCAATGGCGAATAAAGTCATTTGACCGAGCAGCAGCGAGGTGGACATGACCGGATGCGTATCACGAAAAGCGTTCTAGAACCTTCATTGAAAACGCATTTGGACGCTGGAGGCTGGCGAGGGTCAATTTGTCTTTGTGTCCGGTCCACGACCCAAATCGATTTAACAGCATTTGAAGCGAGGACACGTGGCGTGTACCCACGTGGCCGCTAGCGTCCGGTCCATCCAACCGGTGCGTCCGGTCACCCCGCGCTGTACCCAGTGAAGGGGTATAACGACTCTATTTCGTGGGGGCTTCTATTTAAGCCCCATGGCCGGTTCAAGCTCACTCTCTTGGCCATTTACATTGACATAGCAACCTAGTGAGCTTAGCCAAAGCCCTCCCACTCATCTCCATCATTGATCAATCATCATTGTGAGATTGGAAGAGAATCCAAATGCATTGCTTGAGTGATTGCATCTAGAGGCACTTGGCATTCGTGTTTCATTGCGGGATTCACTTGTTACTCTTGGTGGTTGCCGCCATCTAGACGACTTGGAGCAGCGAGGATCGTTGAACGGAGGTTGGTGATTGTCTCCGGCTCCGATCGTGGTGATTGTGAGGGGTCCTATGCCTTCCCCGGTGGAACGCCGAAAGGTAACTCTAGTGGATTGCTCGTGTCATTGAGTTACCTCACTTATGGTTTGGTTCTTGCGGTGTCCAATTGTGTGGATGAGGTTCGTGCAACACTTCTTAGCCGCTGAATCACCAAGTGTTGGTCGACGCAACGGGGACTAGCGTGCCGGCAAGCACGTGAACCTCGGGAGAAAAATTGGTTGTCTCTTGCCCTTTGGTTTTCTCCCGGTGATTGATTTAGTATTCATCTTGTGATTGGTTCACTCCTCTACACGGCGGTATAATCACCCTACTCACTCATTTATATTCTTGCAAACTAGTTGTGGCAAGCTCTTTAGTGTAATTAGATTTGAGAGCTTGCTTTGTTATTTTAAGTTCATCTAGTGGAGCTCTTTAGAGTAGCAAGATTGAGAGCTCTTAGTGAGTAGTAACATTGCAAGTTGTGTGCCTAGTAATCATTGTAACTAGAATTGTTGGATAGGTGACTTGCAACCCTTGTAGAGCTAGAGCAAGTTTGCATTTTGCTATTTGTCATACTAATCAAATTGCTCTAGTTGATTTGTAGATTTTTAAATAGGCTATTCACCCCCCCCTCTAGCCATATTAGGACCTTTCAAGTGGTATCAGAGCCGTGGTCACCGTTTGATTAAAGGCTTAACAACCTCGGTGTCAAATTATGGCTCAAGTTGTGTTCAACCATGTGGGGGGGGGCAAACCACCGTTCTTTGATGGCACATGCTATGATTATTGGAAGAAAAAGATGAGGATGTATCTTGGTTCAATCAATGATCAAGTATGGGAAGTGACCGAGAATGACTATGCTATCATTGATCCCGATGATCCCACCAACCAAGATAAGATCAACAAGCAATGCAACACAATGGCTCTCAACATCATATACAATGCCATTGATTTCAAGGTGTTTGAGCAAATCAAGGATTGTGAAAGAGCAAATGAGGTGTGGAAGAGATTGGAGGAAACATATGAGGGCACACCGGTGGTGAAGAGTGCCAAGTTGTATATCCTCAAGGATAAATTGACAAGCTTCAAGATGAAGAAAGATGAGAGCATTCCGGAGATGTTCCATCGTTTACAAGTGATTGTCAATTATTTGAAGGCATTGGGAGAGAAGATCAAGGATGATGATGTCTCTCATCGGTTCTTGATATGCCTATCTCCAAGATTTGAGATGTTGAGATTGCTCATCATAAGAGGAGGATTGAAAGAGATTACCCTCAACCAAGTACTAGGTGATGTCATGATCCAAGAAACATACCATGTGGAAAGGGAGGAGGATGACAAGGATGACAAGAAGGAAGAAGAAGACAAGAAGAAAAAGAGTATAGTATTCAAGGCGAGCTCATCATCATCCAAGAATAAGGGCAAGTCCAAGAAAGAATCAAGTGATGATGATGATCTTGGTGATATTGATGATGAAGCTATGGCCCTCTTTGTCCGCAAGATGGGAAAATTCATAAAGAAGAAGGGCTATGGTGCAAGAAAGAGAAGAGATCACACCAAAAACAAAGAATATGTGAGAAGATGCTTGTCGGATACCACAAGAAGGGGTACCCTAAGCAAGAACCAAAAATGTCGCTTAAACCTTGCAAAAATCAAAGCCAAAGGACTACCACCAGGTCTCTGCAGAATTCTCCGATTCGCTCGAGGCCTTGCGCCGAGGCCTCATACGAAAGGTCAAAAGCACCCCGCCGAGGCCCTCTCGCCGAGACCCTCTCGCCGAGGCCTCGCCCCGAAAGGCCTCGGATGGGATGCCAATTCTCCGATTCGCTCGAGGCCGGGCTCGGCAAACATACTCGTGGCCTCCGTCCCGACCAAACTCCTCTGACAAAATGTCACGTCCAGATTAATGCGCCCAACTACTCCCATAAACGTCAGCCGCACTCAGGTACAGTATGAGCAGAA